TGATGCCAAAAAAGAGGCCACTGATGCAACATCATGTCGAGGTACACGGGGGAATAAAAGGCAAAGTGGTTTATCACCTGCCCAGTGGTCCTTCCAAAAATAGGTATTGGATCCAATCCATCCAAAAAAAACATCTCAAGAACTAGGAGAATAATGGAAAGACCCAAAAAATAGCCTTCCAGAGATGGTTAGCACAAACCTTAAGCCCACAGGTAAGACCCAGTCAAAAGGAAAGGATGCAGCCATACTTGCTCACGATAATCCTCTGCCACAAGGCACTAGGCTCTTGAAAGAACTGCCACAATCATGGCCAACAAAACCTCATTTAAGTCTCAAATGACCAATGCCCAATCCCCCTAGGCCCTACCTCCGAAGGCCTAGATATGGTTTCCCGATTGACTAAGTGAGCACCTCATCCACTCCCTCAGGAGATCTCTAATAATTTTCTCCAAGCTCTTACTCAGAGGCATCGAGATTTTAAAAGGGACAATACCTCTTTAAACGACCTAAATAAGCACAAGTCTCCCTCATTTAGAGAAAAATGTTTTTTTCCACCAAGAGAAACTTTTGAATCTTTTCCAACACAAGCCCCCAAAAGGCAACACTCTTAAGATTATGTCCCATAGGAAGCCCTAGATAAGAAGATGAGAAATCATGCACTTCACACCCTACTAAGGAAGCCCAAGAGAGTTTACCGTGAAGGCAAAAGACTTCCGAGTTCATCGTATAATATTTTAAAACATAATTTATACATTAGTTGGTTTTGTAGATAAGACATAAATAATACGTTAGTAAGACCAAAAAGATCCCAGTCATCCGATATATTATTGAATTTACCTATCTGCCAATTCTAGTAATCGTAATGTTACAAAGTTGGAATTTTCCAGCCATGTGTCTACAAATTTGAGATTTCTAACTCCAAATCTTCAAGAAGTCACAGTGGGAACAGAAATTGATATACATTATAGACCTTCCTTAATGTAAAGGCAAAAGACATCAGAGTTCACTGTATAATAACTAGTGGTAAGAGTTTAATTGGTTTCTGTTTGGCAATCTCAATAGCCTTTCTTTTGAGGATGACAAATATAAGTCTTGTAAGGACAGGAAATCCCCCAATAAACCTTGGAAAAAGTCTTATTAGAACCCTTCTGCAATAGCTCACAATCTAAGCAAGCCAGAAGGAATCTTCAGTACAAGCTACTAAGGTTGTATCCCTACTCATGCTACTAATCACATTATTACCAATTACCATTGATCTCCTCAATTAACAAGAATCTTCAAGCTTTACAAACAATATTGAGAGTTCAAAGAATATCAAAAAATAAAAAAAATAAAAAAAAAAAAGACAAAACCCTTAACAAGAATCTTTAAATGCTAGTAATCACATTATTATCACAATTTTGCTTCCAAAGCAAAATACATAGAAAAGTCTGGTAAGGAATTTTATATAGTCACACAATATAAATAACTTCCAGACAAAAAGAACAACCCCATTAAATAATGAAAGAGGAAAAATTATATCATTAAATCCAAAGCCAATAAGAATCAAAAAGCTATTTGACACCTTGTCAACAGTTGAAAATGGGGGTACAACACCATTCTCTCTTCTTGCTCTACCTCTCATTTCTTCATTGTTCTCTTGTGCCTGCTGACCAGCATTTTGTATTAGAAACTTTTCATCTATTCATACCAATACATTGAATATATAAATAACGAGAGATCAAAGCATGGAAAGATACACATGTTGGACAAAGACACAACATTAATACATTAAGATGCAAGTCTAAAAGGAAATAATGACACAAAAGGTGCAGTGTAAGGTTCATTAAAAATATATATCTTTCTATGAGAATATGAAGAAGTGCCCATCTACGTTCTCATTTGTATTTGCATTTATGAACAAAATTTAAATAAAAAAAAAGAATGCTAGCTAGGTTGATCGAAAATAAATTATGATGATGATGAAGAGGTAGTAACAAAATTGTTTACAATTGAAAGCCCAAAGAGTTTCCAAATACATTCAACCCATACGTGAAACAACAAGTTGCTCTTCTTCCCCCCACCCCATATTACACACACAATATATTTCTTTTCCTTTTTGGCTCACGTGTGAGGTAATTTGCAAAGGTTATCCAAGGGACCAAGTAGACGATGTTAGACATCTAAGACAAATGCATCATACAACCAGGTGGACAAAACCAACGGGTGAGTTTGTAAGTTCTTGGTTATGCTAATAGATATGTTTCTTCTTTCTCCATCCTTTTTGTACCTTCCTTTTAATGATCAAATGAAATTTGGTCTCATACACATTAAAAAATGTAATTCTATAACGTAGACTCTATTATCTCCATGTCTCCCATTAAAACTCCTGATAATGCCCTCCTTCCAAATCCCACAAGATCTCTACCTCCAAGCCAATAAATCCTTGTTCTCATGTTTGATGGCTAACTTGAGGAGCTAACTATAATTATAGTCAAGCATCAAAATTAAAGGAAATAAACATACTGTTTGTCTATTCTAACTAAACAAAGGAAAACAAATAATTGAATAAAATAAACAAGTAAATAAGAGGAAAAATGCTTTGAAATGATCAATTGATTGAGAGATGAAAATTAACAGGAAGAACAAGAGAAGGCACAAGACCTGCTGAATTCGAGCTCTTTTTTGAAAGATTTGGTCTTCATGTACAGCTACAGATTGGATAAAATGTTCCACTTTATCTAACATGACCTAGTTATATCGCAGCCAAAAAAATTATTCAGAAAAAGAACTTATTATAAGGAAAAGACTTCACAGGAGAAAATAATAGTAAGAAAATAACAGGAAAGATTTCCAAAATGCATTAACCCTAACAATCAATTTGCATGCATGGAACTTCAGTTGTTGCCCCCCTTCACTTTACTCCTTAGCATCAAAGAAAAAAGAGCAAGCAACTTAAAATTCTCCTCTTCAAGAATTTCTTTTTTTTTTCTTTTTGACAAGAGAGATATAACATATCTTTTTTTTCAGGGGCAACCGCCTGACCCTACAACATTTGGTGCCGGGAAACAAGACATGTAACATATCATAAATCAAAAAAGGAGGAATACACAGAAATGACATCTCCTCCTGAGGCCTCAAAAAGGGAATTCTGTAAAAGAACAATCCATGTTATTATAACACTAATAGAAAACAAAGAAAAAGGTTTGTGGAGTTCGGCCCAAAAGGAGTAAGTGCATTGTACAACCTTCCGATGATTGTATAGTAGGTTGGTTCAGGTTGAACCTCTTTTTTATAGGTTGTCTTTTTGTACGCCCTTTCATATTCTTTCATCTTCCTCAATGAAAGCTTGGTTTCCACCCAAAAAAAACCCTTCCAATGATTACAAAAAATCTCTACCAGTCCTTTTGATTGTTTCTTTCTATCCAAACTGCCAAAAATATAACCCTTTTAGCACTATCCCAAATAATTCTAGATTTTCCATTTGCCACCAACCCCAAAGTATAACCCTTGACATCAAGTGGGTTCTCTATCATTGATGGAGGACTTTTTACAACTCTCATCCCCTTTTCATTTTTCAAATATTAAAACCTTGAAATCACCCACAGGAATGCAGTGAATGCTATTTTTAAAGATGTGGAAACCCATTAGAATACAATAACTATTTGTGATGCACAAGTAATAAAAGATGCAATCCTACCCGCAGGATGCAAATAAAAGTGAAAGACCCCATGTAAGGAAAACAGGGGAGTGAAATAGACATCTTTTGCAAGGAATAAACCAATGTCTTGCATTAATTAAATGGTTGAGAAGAAATAATATGGTTGAAAGATTGGATATACTTTTCCATCTTAATTATTATGTAGGCACGTAAGATAATACTCTTACATTAGTCAACAACGAGGAAATGGTAGGTTATGTCAACCCAAAACAATGGCATGTTATAAATTAACTAACTGAGAAAAAATAGCAACATAATTGAATCTACTCTTCAGTTCCAATGCATTGCATATCAGATTTGAACTTTGGCTCTGGAAATTACACATGATTTACACATTAAAGCAAGAGAAAGGCTTTAAAGTAGGAAAAAAGGGTAGACATATGTTAGAAATGGGCAATATGGTCGGATGAAATCCTACTTCCAGAGTAAAAATGCCAGCAAAAAATGAACAAGTTCGTAAAATATAAAAGACCATTACCTCACCCGCCTCAGTAAGATAACCACCCATAGAAGGAAACTCCCTTCTATATATGTGCATCAGCAGATTAATAGCACCCTGAACCAGAAAAGTGTGTTTGGCATAATGTTACTGTAAAAGATAAAATAACGGAAAATAGGTAGCACATATAAGGCCATGAAAGCACTTCATATTTTTGTGCATTTAGGAAACAAAGAAATAAAGGTATGCTCCTACTAAACAATTAGATGTCCTTACCTCTCTTATCTCCAAGGTTGGCATATGTGGAAGAAAGTCATTGCCAACAAAGAAACACAAAAACACAAAATCATCCACTATCCGCTCAAAATCAACCTCAAAAGGTGGATTTGGAATGTCCAATTCGTACTCCAAGTATTCTCGTAAAACCCAAATGTTGAGAAACTGCATAAAAGTTCGTCATTTAAGATACAGCAAGATGAGCTAAATAGGATGAGCTTAAAAATTTCAAAACATTATAATGTCTCCCACCTGATATTTCTTCTTATGAATTGGAGTTTCATCTGCTGCATTCCAATCTTCAGGTCCATCAGGCTTTCCACGACACTCAGCTGCAAAATGACCAACTTGGCCACAATTGTAACATTTCTCCTGTTGCCCAGGTAGCATAATTACCTGCACAACTAATGGGTGTATTAAGTAATGATCAATTCAGTACAGGAGATCGGTTAGAAGTTAGAAGTACATAACCACTCATAAGACAGTTAACTGACCTCTCTTAGAATCGAAAAGTGGACCTCGTGTGTTGCTAGACTGAGCATAATCAGATCTGCATCCTGAAATTAATATGCAAAGACATAATTGAGTTCAAAATTAAATGATCGAGGAATTATAAAATAATAACTCTTTATGTGCATGTAGCCAAGACTATGAAAAGCTACAATGGAAGAGACTCACCAGACCGTACAGACAATGTCGAGTATTTGGATCAAAACCAGGTAAATTGCGTTGTAGCCGGATGTATGACATAATTTTGTGTTCTCCCTCACCAGGAACATTCGAATCAGATAGAATAACCTTCAAATAATCATCCAATGCATCCCCATAAATAAACATAGAGAGACAAAGTATCCTGAAAGACAGAGGTATAAAAGGTGGAAGATACAGAAAGGATTACTCCACCAATAAGGAATTATCCAATCTTTAAAACGATTGAAGAAGAAAAAATGAGGTGTACAAAAATATTCCAATCAGACCTTTGTAAACCTCCATCCTGGGTTGTGATTCAATCTTGACTGTGCATAATACTGAAGCGCTACTGAAAGCACTGCCATAAATTGAGTTCCTGGAGTGATAACATTAGAGTCACATGTTTCAGGCTTTTCCTTAGGCAACAAGCTTTGCCCCTCAGCTTCAAACTCTTTTCTCAATCTTTCTTCTTCAGCTTCCTAACACATGCAGAGCGAAAAATAATTAAGATTCTTTCACTAGTCATAAACATATATGATAGATGGACATATGAACAGTCTCACGGCCTCAGCAGCATCTTTTGCAGCTCTGAACCGCCGAGAGCGTTGCTGGTTCATTTTAGCTCTAGGTGCAACGCCATCTGCCAAATTCTAAATTTATCAAAACGAACCTTGTATAAATTGAACAATAATACTCCAAAAATCTAGCAAATTCCATACCAATTGCCATGTAAAGAACCTTTCTTGGCCTAACCAATGAGAAGAGATGGTCAATGTAATCGAAAATGGATTTGAATACAACATCATAAGTAGCAGGCGGAGGCTGCACATGTAAATTAAGCACAAATTATCAGCAACACATTCAAACAATTCTTAAAGAAAAAAGACGTTGGTCATCTCCCATGGAGTTGTTCGTTTTCTCAGGCCTTATATTTTTTTAATTTACAAGCTGCATAATAAAGATGGTTGTTCTATCGTGGAGGAGGTTCCCCTAAACCCTTTATCTTTCCAAGCTAAGGCACCATGCTTGCTTCTTTACTATTTTGCGGGAATATTCCTGGAGAGGAAGGGTAGAATTTTTAGAGCTGCGAGGTTCCAGGAAAGAGGTGCGGGCTAACGTTAGGTTGAACACTTCTTTGTGGGCGTCGATTTCCAAACCGTTTTGTAATTATTAGTTAGGTTTTATTCTTTTAGATTTTAGTTCGTTCATGCATAGTTAGAGTTGGGACTCCTTTTGAGGGCTGGTTTTTTGGTATGTTCTTATATTTTTTTCAATTTTCTTTCATGTTTCTAGATCAAAGCTTAGTTTTCTTTTTTCTTTTTTTTCTTTTTTTAACATTTCTTAAAGCAAAGAAACTCTAAGATGGAGCCCAATTTGGAAGCTTCGGCATTCCTACTGCAACAAATCAAAAACCACAAACCACGTAACTTCATAATTCTTTACATTGTCTTCGCCATTTGGAAAGCAAACATAGAAGAAGCATCAATTCAAATTTAACCATACCATTGTTCACATGCCTCATACTCCAACTGATTACTTAAACAGCATTTCGACATGCACTGGTAAATTTTCAGTGCCGAATCACATTTTCTTGGCTTTGTGAAATAAACCAACGCCGAAAACAACGATACACATTATCTATCAACTCATTAGATAATTTCCCACGCGACCCAGCACATATTAGGCTTTAGCGCATTGAATTCTCCTTCTTAACCTCTAAATTTCGCTAAGCCCCATTAAACTCTCCGCTATTCTGTCAATACTCCTCTAATACATACCCAAACACACATACACCATCATCAAATCTCAAATTCCATTGCTACTTTCCCATAAGAAACTCAAGCTCGGCCTTACAATGTAGTGAAAACACTCATTTCCCCTTCAAACCAATCACAAATTCGCAATTACAAACTCAAAACTAAAGCCATCACAAAGGAGAACGAGAACTTGATACCTTGCCTTCGGGATGAAAGCATGGATGAATTATGCCATTCATATCCAAGTACAAGTTGTCAAACTCCATGCCGTTAGGGTTGGGCTTGGAGACATCGATCGGCAGGAGGACGCCATTGGGGCCCTCGACTGGCTCTTCCTCCACCACATCGGCAATCGAGCGAGGGTATCGGTCGGCGAGCCACCGGTAGAAGGCTGGCACACCCATAGCCTCTGGAGCTCCGGCGAGTAAGTTCAGAGAGAGGGAGGGCGTTTCGAGATCTGCAAAAGCTCGTGCCGCCAAGTTGAGTGTACGGACCGAAAGTGCTGCGGGCAGAGAAAAAGACGAAAATCGGGTAATCGGGGTGTGTTTGGAAACGAGGATGGTTATGTCCTTATCGTGGAAAAGTAACTCCATTCTCCCAGGCCCTCTTTACTTCAATATTATTTCATTCTCATCACTAATTCTAAAAACTACTCGATTTCGCTCGGTTTTTTTTTTTATGTTTTTTCTATGAAATTCAAATAATTATCTATTACTTGATTAACAAAAAAGGATCGTAATTGAGTCAAACTGGTTCAAAACAGTGAAATCTATCAAAATTCTCGTAGTACATCTTTCTCTCAGGAACATACAGATAAGATGAAGATCTTGCTCGTACACGATATATTTGTTGTAATCCCTCCCCTTGATCTTTCTTTTTGGGTCATATTGAGCTTAATGGTAGTCGTGGACTTGTGTGTGAAGTCGAGAGTTGTATGTTCAAATGAGTCTAAAGTCACCCATTTGTAGAGTTTTGTATCAATTATATCACTAATGTAGTGTTATGATTATCTTAATCTATTCATGGTTAAGAGTTTTATAGTTTGATTCGACGTATCAATATTGTAACAAAAATCATATTATTGATGTTTGTGTTCAAATCAACTAAACCAACGTTGTTGCTTTATTTTGTTAGGTTTTTTCTTTTAGGTCTATATCAAATTTGTTTCTCTTTTTTTTTTTTAATATGGAGTATGGAGAATTAAAACTATGATAGTGATGCCCTTTTAGCTCTGTAGTTATGTTCACTAGTTCCACGACCAATATGAGATGTCAATAACTAAAATGACAAACTAATTACTAATTACTAATAAATGAAATGTTTTTATTATTTTATTATATTTAGTTGTCATCATGCTACCACCCAAAAATTTGAGAAGTTAAGCATCAATGTAACACATATGTTTTGTCAAATAATGGTAATAAGTATAACCATCAACCACCTCAAATTTCAATAAATTTAATCTCTTACCTTCTTGTTAACGATATAAATGATTTACAAGCTTCAATTAAATAATACGTTGATATGATGTCAAATAATTTGTACGTCCCTAGCTTGATCGGGTTGGAAAATCTCAGACTTGATCGAATATGGGGTCAAACTAGAGATTAAATATGAGTCTCCAACGGGGACAGTGAAGGGTTTCACTACCCACCCCGATAGGTGCATTTTTTTTTTTCTCAATACCGATTTTTAAAATATATGCATGTGTCCATCAAATGAAATCAAGTAAACCCTCCTCCAATTTTAAAGCCCAAGCCCAGCCCAATATTAAAAGCAATAATAATAATAATCCTAACTCTAATCTTTTGAGCTATCCCCTTCATT